AAAAAAAAAAAGGCAGCACCTGTGGCTCAGTGAGTAGGGCACTGGCCCCCTATACCGAGGGTGGTGGGATCAAACCTGGCCCTGGCCATACTGCAAGAACTACAAAAAAAATAGCAGGGTGTTGTGGCGAGTGCCTGTAGTCTCAGCACTTGGATGGCTGAGGCAAGAGAATCGCCTAAGCCCAAGAGCTGGAGGTTGCTGTGAGCTGTGACACCACAGCACTCTTCTGATAGTGACAAAGTGAGACTCTGTCTCTTAAGAAGAAAAAAAAGTCATTTTTTTGTAATCAAGCCCTTATTATGTGCCACTTACTACTATAGGCATGTGGGTAATACCATTCCTTAAGTTGTGGGAAGACGAGGCCCAATGGAGAAAGCAAACACTGTCCATAAATAAGAGGAAAAAGCTTTTTTATTCAGCCAGCAGAGCAAACTGTATAGAAGAATTCAAAATGGCCACGTTCCCCAACTGGCTTGGTCTTTCCCTTTTTCTCTCCAGTTAAAAAGTTCCAACTCACAGGTACCCTTCTCATTGGTCAATTTGAATCAAGCTGGAGAAACTGTTCCAGCCCCCACAGAACTACAGGATTTCACAGAAGGGGAAATTTCCAGATCCCAGGAAGTTAAGTTTCTACAAATTCCTAAGAGTTGAGGCACCATGGGGAGGACCCCCTCAGGTGTATCCTTGGGGTATCCTTGAGAAGACCTCTGTTCTAGATCTTACCCTTCCTGGGTATCTTTCTCACTTACAGCTTTATTATTATTGTTATTATTATTATTATTTAGAGACAGAGTCTCACTTTGTCACCCTTGGTAGAGTGCTGTGCCGTCACAGCTCACAGCAACCTCCAGCTCTTGGGCTTAGGCGATTCTCTTGCCTCAGCCTTCCAAGTAGCTAGGACCACAGGCACCTGCCACAACACCCAGCTATTTTTTGTTTTAGTTTGGCCGGGGCTGCGTTTGGACCTGCCACCCTTGATATATGGGGCTGGTGCCCTACTCACTGAGCCACAGGTGCTGCCCCCAGCAATTTTTTGCTGCGGTTTGGTCAAGGCCTAGTTCAAACCCTCCACCCTTGGTATATGGGGCTGATGCCCTACCCACTGAGCCACAGGCATCACCAGAGCTTTATTTTATTTAATTAATTAATTAATTTATTTATTTATTGTTTGGCTGGGGCTGGGTTTGAACCTACCACCTCCAGCATATGGGGCCAGCGCCCTACCCTTTTGAGCCACAGACACCGCCCTACTTTTTTTTTTTTTTGGTGGTAGTTATAGTGGAAGTGATATGTCTCTTTCTCAATGTTTGTCTTTAATGGCCTTCACAAAAATGTTTAATACTCCTGTGTCACTCTTTCTGGTAATCTCTAAATGTTAAACCAATATGGAATAATTTTCATATCCCTCAATAGAGGTAGAGTGACATCAATTTTAAGATAGGAAAACAATATGCAAACACGAAGTGACTCGTTCAGAGTCATACATGAATCAGTGATTGATCTTGGACTGATCTAAACCAAAACTCTTTTTTTTTTTTGAGACAGAGTCACCCTTTGGTAGAGTGCCATGGCGTCACAGCTCATAGCAACCTCAAACTCCTGGGCTTAAGCAATTCTCTTGCCTCAGCATCCTAAGTAGCTAGGACTACAGGCCTTGCCATAATACCCAGCTATGTTTTTGGTTGTAGTTATCATTATTGTTTGGCAGGCCTGGGCTGGATTCAAACCTGCCAGCTCCAGTGTATGTAGCTGGTGCCCTAGCCACTGAGCTACAAGTGCCGAGCCCAAACCAAAACTCTTTTAATAAGATACTCCTGGCTTGAACTGTGATGCCATGGCACTCTACCGAGGGCAAGAAAGTGAGACTCTGTCTCTAAAAAAAAGATATTCCTGGCTTGGTGCCTGTAGCACAGTGGTTATGGTGCTGGCCACTGGCACCGAGGCTGGTGGTTTCAAACTTGAACCTAAGCCTTTGAAATTGCTGTGAGCTATGATGCTATAGCACTCTACTGGGGGCAACATAATGAGACTCTGTCTAAAAAAAAAAGATATTCCTCTTCTCTAAGTATAGAAAGGTAGTTAGATTTCACATGGAAATAAGTATTTGAGAATATGTAAAATTTTTTCATTCTTTTTTTTCCATTGAGACAGAAAGAAATATGAGAGAAATGACTTAAGATTGAGATTGAGGTGTATGTTTTAAATTGGTGACTTAGAATTTAACAGAGGCAAAGAAGAGATGGAAATTGATTTTGCAAACAACTCAGTTGTGCTACATTTTAGACAGGGTGGACTGCTAAACTATAATGAAAATTGAGACAGAACTGATTATCAACATAGAATTTTTGTTTAAAGTAGATATTTAGAGATTATAAATGTTTTTATAAGGTATAAAAAGCAAGTTATATGACTAAAATAGTTAAAGGAAATATCCTATTTAGCATGGACAATATCAGTACAGCAGTCATGTAGTAGATGAAAATAGACTGTGTTTCTATTTTTGTAGACCTCAGCTTAAAAATCCTCCGAGAAGACAAAAAATGTCCTGGATCACTGCATATTATCAAATGGTAAGTAATTGGAATTCCACAAAAATTAAACAACATTATTTTTAGCGTGGCTAAAATTATCCATAAGACTTTATTTGGTGAGATCATTTCCTTAAAATCATTTTTTCTTTCACTCTTTTAAAAATAATTTTCTAGAAATTTATAACAATTACTCAATATTATTTTAGATTGTTTTTAAAATAAAATGAACTTATATAAAGATAAAAAATATCAATTACAATTTAATCATTCATCATATTCATGTCAGTGTACTAAACATTATGAGGGAAAAAAAAAAGATGTGGTTCTTACTTTAAAACTGCTCACATCAACATATTAAAAGATGCCAGGAGTTTTTAGAAAAGATTAATTAATTAAATAGGAAAGGTAAAAAAGTTGTCAATTTAATATGCTTCAAAGCAAAAAACGTAAGTGAATTCTATACTCAGAATTTTTTTGGCTTTGCATCTGGTCTAAATTGACATCAAACATTTGTTTCTTGACAGGATTCAAGGTTGTTTTGATGCTTTGGAAAAGAGATACGTAAGAATATTTTTAAATTTACACCAGGATCAAAAACTTGTCTTTTATCCTTTAAAAAAAGAAGTTTAGACTTTTATTTTTTGTTGTGTTTAGCAGTGTAGCAGTGCCTACACTTGTGTTCATAAACCAGTATTTTTATTTTGTGTTTTTGTTGTCCCATTGATGTCTCCTTTACATCAACTAGAAATAAAACCCTCACTTTTCTGTTTTACATACTCGTATCTTTTTGACCACAGAATTTCCTCTGAAGTCACTGGAATAGATCCACAGGATGTGGGACAGGGGAGACAAGAATTTGGCATAGTGTGTCGAACATGTTCAGAATAGCAGTGATTGAATTTGCAGATAAGAAAGGAAAAAGTGGACCTGAATAATTGGTTTTTATTCTTAGTTATTTTGGTAACTATGTTTGGTTTATGTATATAACTTATTCCCTCAAAACAGCTAGCATTGTACCCTGAATTTTTAAAAAATGTAGCTTAAATTTTAGGTCCATCTCATCTTTCATGCTGCCCAAGACAGCTATGAAGGATGTGAAAACTAGAAGCTCTAGTCCTCATTGAAGAGACAAGATACAACATATATAAATGAAATTTCTACCACTCTTTTCTCCCCTTTTTCCCTAACTGTGGCTTCTTTTTATTCCTTTTCAATTTAAGAAATTCTTAAAGTTTCTTTAAGAAATTTTGAGGTAAGCAAGTCCCTACATTGGATTATTTAGCACATTTATACATTTCTCTTTTAATGCAGTTTTTACTCATGATTTATTCAAAACTGACCTGAGGAAACGAGGGATACAATGATAAAACAGATGTGGGAAAGAGCTTAAAAACTATGGGAGGAGATAGGTGATGTTGATACAAAGGGCTGATAATCACCTGATTCACACTGGCCCAAATGTACCTACTGTTAAAATACTGAAATACTTCTGTATCAAGTGGTAAACAGTTGCTTTTCTAAGATTTCATGTGATCCCTACCAGTATCCTCTTCCTCACCTCACCAGTGTCTGTTCTGGGGTCTCCCCAAACTGGTCTAAAATCTAGCAACTAAAGGATTAATACCTAGTCCAAAGGTTGTTTTCAGGAACCAGCCTGTAAGCTACATTGGCATCCTTTCTGATTGGTGAGTTACCTGTGTCATTGGATTAGGCTTTAAATATTGATTTTTTTTCATATCAGTTTGATAATATGTCAGAGATATTTTGACTATCACTCCTACGCAAATGTAAGTAACCATAGCACTCATTAGAAAGGGAAATACCAATCACGTGCAATGGTATGTGTGATCTTTGGGAGAAAAATAGCTTTGGGGCTTTGAAAGCCTTGAGTATTTGGACAAGTTGATAGGGGGAGAAGACCATCACTGGCATAATGAATGAATAGTGCTCATTCATTCTCTTTCCTCCATTCATTTATTTTCTCCATGCTTTTCTTGAGTGTCCATCATTGAGGGTGGTACAATATAGTTAGAAGCTCAAGTTTTGGAGTCAGGCGTCTGAAGTGAGTTCCAGTTCTGTCACTTAATACCTATGTGACCTTGGGCAAGTAATCTACCTCTTGGTACTGTACTTTCTTTGCATATAAGATAGGGATAATAATAGAACCTACCTCTTAATGTTGTTTGAGAAGTAAATGAATTAATAGTCTAAATCAGTGGTTCACAATAGCTTGTATCAGAATCACCTGAAGGACTTGTTAAAACAGATTACTAAACTCCACCCCAAAATTTCTAATATGAGAATTTGCATTTCAAATAAATTCTAGATGACACTCTGACTGCTGGTCTAGGGGCCATACTTTGAGAGCCACTAATTTAAAATGTTTAGAACAATGCTTGGTACATAATAAACACTATGTAAATGTTAAACATCCATTCATTCTTTCTTTATATATTGGTTATTTAACTTGTGCCAGACATTGTTTCTAGGCACTGAAGGAGAGTTTCCCATCTATTAGAGTCACTTCTTAAATAAACAATTACAGTATTAACATAACAATGTAATATACAAAGAGGCAGTTTGATGAATTTTATATTCTTGAATTATTTAAATAAGCATATATATATATACATATATATATATATATATACATTTTTTTTTTTTGAGACAGAGTCTCACTTTATTGCCCTCGGTAGAGGGCCATGGTATAAGAGCCCACAGAAACCTCAAACTCTTGGGGTCAAGCGATCCTCTTGCTTCAGCCTCCAAAGTAGCTAGGACTACAGGCACCTACCACAACACCTGGCTATTTTTAGAAACAGGGTCTAATCATTGCTCAGGCTGGTCTTGAACTTCTGGGCTTATGCAATCTACCCACCTCAGCCTCCCAGAATGCTACATATTTTTAGAAAATTATTATTAAAAGTAGACTAACTTCTCTCCTTCTTCCCATTCTCAGTCTCTCACCATTCCAACCCATTGTTCCACACTACATTCTTACAGAAACCTGAGTCTGACCATGTCATTCTTTTGCCTGAACATCTCCCGGGGCTTTTAAAATATAGTTCGCAGTCCTTCACATAAACTACAAGGTTTATGTGATCCCTGTCTGACTTTCCAAAGCGTCACTCTCACTTCTATATCCAAGCCACATAAGAAATCTAGAACATGCCAAATTCTTTTAACCTTTGTACATACTATTCCTTTTGCCTGGAAACTCCCCTACTTCATATAATTTGCCTGGCTAACTCTAATTTATCCTTCAGGTTTCAGCTTAAATACTTACTTCCCCAGGGAGGCTTTCCCTGACACACCTCCTCCCCCAGCCTAGATTGTCCCTCTGTTTAGTGTCTCATAGCCTCCTGTACTGCTTCTTCACAGTAATTAACACAGTTGTACTGATATTGATGTAGCTGTTCGTTATATTTTTGTGTAATGTTGGTCTTCCCTGAGATCAGTGGTCATGTCTATTTTTGAATGAATGAATGAACTATTAATTAAATAATTAATATTAATTAGTTTCACTGTGTAGTCTTAAAACCAGTTATATGCAGTAACCAAAATAACCACACAGTGTCAGTAAAGATTTGATTCTTTGATATGAAATTATGATACTGAAATTTTCCGATTTGTTAATAGTTTTTTAAAAATGTATCATAGGCTGACTTATATTTCTACCTATACATTCTAATACTCTTTCAAGCAGAGAGAATCTGTTTGTAGTAGTGTCTGTATAGAGAGAGTTAAGAGTTTTAGAGATGTATCACACTTTTAGATTTTTATGTAAGTAGATTAGTTTCAAAGGGCACACTTTTTTGAGGTACTTATTTAATTTTTAGTAATAATGATTTGTTTTGCCTTTCAAACTAGAATGTAACATTTTGAGAGTAGGGATAGTTACTTTTTTGTATTCCTCTCCTTCCCAGCAGAGGCCTGTGTGTGTAATAGGCATTCACTCGAGTGAATGAATAATTAGTTCAGTCATCCCTCCATGTCAGAGCATTCAGCATCTGCAGATTCAACCAAACACAGATTAAAAATTATTTAGAAAAATATCCGATAAAACATAACAATACAACAATAAAAATGATACAAATTTTAAAAAGTGTTATAACTATTACATTGTATTTGGTATTATAAGTAATCTAGAGTTGTATAGCTGAACTCATTACACATTTTGTATAGAGGTTTCAAAATATCACATGCACCCCCCCAAACATGTATAACTATTATATATCAATTAACAAATGATAGGAATTAATCAGTTTTTAAGTATCTAGGAAATACACTTTAATAATACAAAAGGTTAGTATGAAATAGTTAATATACATATATTTTAAAAATATAATTAATTTTGACAGAAAGAGTACAGTTGCCCATTGAATAACTGTGTGGATCCTCTTATACATACATATGATTTGAGTGGGCTCTGATTTTGGTAAATCCTGCAACCAGTCCGCCCTGAGATACTGAGCGATAACTATCCCTTTTTCTGACCTTTGAATAACATTTTTTCTACCCATATCTTTGGAACCTCTCTAAAGTAATATTTTAATTAGCCTCCATTGAATATAAAAATAATGAAAGTACAAGTACAGGGCGGCGCCTGTGGCTCAAAGGAGTAGGGCACTGGCCCATATGCCGGAGGTGGAGGGTTCAAACCCAGCCCTGGCCAAAAACTGCAAGAAAAAAAAAAAAAGTACAAGTATAATAACAATAGTTTTTCTTTCTCTTGAAGCTACAAATGGCAGTACTTACAGTAAGTATACATTTAAAGACTAAGTCTCTGTCTCTGCTTACATGGTCTTTAGGCAAATAAAACATTAAAACAGTATACTCTCATTTCTTCCCTGACTTTATCTATCTTACGATATTTTAGAATTAAAAAATAAGGTCTATCAGAAGTTTAATAAAAGATTACAAATTATGTATTTCTTTGGTATATTATCATATATGGGGAAATTAAATCCAATATACTATTTGCTTCATCTATTGGCTCTCGAGATTTCATTTTATTTTATTTTTTTTTTTTGTTTGAGACAGAGTCTCATTATGTCGCCCTGGGTAGAGTGTGGTGGCATCACAGCGCACAGCAACTTCAAACTCTTGGGCTTAAATGATTCTCTTGTCTCTGCCTCCCAAGTAGCTAGGACTATAGGTGCCCACCACAACGCCCAGATAGATTTCATTTTTTAAGTTACTTTACAGACTCAAAGATTTTTGGTTTTGAAGTTTTGTAGACTTTTAAAAAAATTTTGTATATCTCTGAGTATATTGTGATGTATGTGTTAAAGAATAGAAAATGAGAAAATACCATTTAGAGTCTTAGAAACATGACTTATTTAAAAATTTTAAATCATAACAAATTATTTAGAGTTGACTTTTATTCATTATTCGTATAATATTCTATAGACTTTGTTTACAAAATAAAAGTGTATCTTATCTCTAGCTTGAAATATATGTCAATAATTAAAAGAACATAAATCAAACTCTTTATAGAGAAAAAATATATTCCATGACTCTAGTAAGTTTCAGAAATTAAATGCTATTTATTTTCCCTTAAACAGCTTTACACAAATCCCAAGGAACCTGAGGTAAGAAGACACACATATAGGTGGGCAGTGTGTATATGTGTATATATATATATATATAAAATAAATATATGTTATATTTAAATATATTTACCTGAGTTGAGGCTATAGATTGTTACAAGACTGCTGTATGAGCAAAGAAACTTGTAGTGAACTCTTTCAGTACTTTTTTTTTTGAGATGGAGCCTCAAGCTGTCCCCCTGGGTAGAGTGCCATGGCATCACAGCTCACAACAACCTCCAACTCCTGGGCTCAAGCGAGTCTCCTGCCTCAGCCTCCCAAGTAGCTGGGACTACAGGCGCCCACCACAACGCCCGGCCATTTTTTGGTTGCAACCATCATTGTTGTTTGGCGGGCCGGGGCTGGGGATTCCAACCCGCCACCTTAGGTGTATGTGGCTGACGCCTTAGCCACTTGAGCCACAGGCGCCGAGCCAGTACTTTTTATTATAAGCTTCACCAGTCCTTTATTATGAAATTTTCAAAATTTTTCTAGGGGTATTGGGAGAAAAAAAGCATTGAGTAGAACTGAGCCTATTCGCTAACAAGTTAATATTAAGACTCTCTCTCTCTCTCTCTCTCTTTTTTTTCTTAGAGACAGTCTCATTTTGTTGCTCTTGGTAGAGTGCCCTGGCATCACAGCTCATAGCAACCTCCAACTCCTGGGCTTAGGCGATTCTCTTGCCTCAGCCTCCCGAGTAGCTGGGGCTACAGGCACCCGCCACAGCGCCAGGCTATTTTTTTGTTGCAGTTTGGCCAAGGCCGGGTTTGAACCCTCCACCCTCGGTATATTGGGCTGGGGCTCTACTCACTGAGCTAGAGGCACCGCCCAACATTAAGACTCTCTTAATGTGCAAATGTATAAGATCACATTTGATTATTATTTATTTTAACAGCTTCTGAATCCTTTCAGTTACTGGCATTTTTGGAAAAATAAATGAAATATGGAACAATTCCACACTTTTTTTTTTTGCCAACTAAATTCTTTCCTTTTTCACATTTTCATAGATTTTCAGAGCTTCACTTTTTTACTTCTCGCTCTAGATTTCTTCCCTCTGCTTAGTGAATCCTATTCATTTTCAAGGCCAATTTATTTTCAAGTCTTTCAGGAAAGCCTTTTTGGCTATTTTAGCTACACTGACTTCTCTAAATTCCTTTTCTAGAAGAACTTCATAATTTAACACTCTAAATTGATTCATGTAGATTACTTTATCCCTCCTAATCAGATTGTGAATTCTTGTGGACAAGAGTCTTGTCTTGTTTTCTACGTGTATCTACTAGAGTGAATATCAGCCCTGGTCACCTAATAGTTACCTGTGCCACTTTGTATGGTAGCTGTGACTATGGCACAGAAATGGAAAGAGAATCCTTTTGTTCTTCTCCTTCTATCTGTGTCTTCCTCCTCTCTTTCTTTCCTTTTACTTTTCTTTCAGTTTTCCTTCTCCAAGCCTATGGATTTAGCCTAATTGGTGGTATTGAAAATTAAATTAAATGTTTAATTAGAGACAGAGTCTCACTTTGCATAATAACATATAGCTGAGTTTTTGAGGCAGAGTCTCAAGCTGTTGCCCTGGATAGAGTGCCGTGCCGTAGAGCTCACAGCAACCTCAAACGCTTGGGCTTAACTGATTCTCTTGCCTCAGCCTCCCAAATAGCTGGGACTATAGGCGCCCGCCATAATGTCCAGCTATTTTTTTTGTTGTTGCAGTTGTCATTGTTATTTAAGCTGGCCCAGGCCGGTTCTAAACCACCAGCCTCGGTGCATGTGGCCGGTGCTCTAGCACTGAGCTATAGGCACCACTCCCATTGTGGGTGTTAAAGCAAAGGAGTGACATGGTCTGATGAGTATTTTTCAAAAACTTATTTTGGCTATAGAACAGAGAATAAGTGTCAGATGCTATTCTCTTTGAATATAAACCTGAAAAGTCTTACTTGTGGATTGGAACGTGGAGGGAGAAGGAAAGGCTGCATATGGTAATGTTGCTTTAGTCTAAGAAAGTGAATATATTTAATATGATCAATAGAAACTGTCAATGAGTTGTTTAAAGGTTTATTTTTATTATGCAACACATTAGTCTAAAAAGCAACTTAGGAAGTGTTTAGAAGAAAATATACTTTCCTTAATAAACTAGAGTCAGATTTTAAGGATCAGCATAGAACAGTTATAAACTTAAGTCTTTTATTAGTTGCTTCAAGAATCAAATATAAAGTGTAAATAAAATGCTGTCAATTACCAAAGGAACTATTCTTGACAAAATTTAAAAGTATATATAATATATAAAATAATATATATATATGTGTGTGTGTGTGTGTGTGTAGCTCAGAGCATTAAAAAAGCTAGAGCTGCCTGAGAAACAAAGGCAGGCATAAAGAATAGGCATTGTGTGCTTGACAGGGCAATTACACCGAGCATTGGCTAAGAGCAAACTCTGCATCTAGCCTAGGCATCCTCAAACTACAGCCCATGGGCCACATGCGGCCCGCCTAGGACATTATCCAGCTTTCCAGGTGTTTTTGCCATTGCTGCCTGTCCTGCTTAGCAGCCGACTCGTCCCGGGGCCCGCAGTCCGGCCCTCCAGCGGTCTGGCCCCCTATTTAAAAAGTTTGAGGACCCCTTCCAGCCTATGTAGAGTAAAGCTATTACTGTAAGCACCTGGGCATCTCTAATTTCACCTGTCTTTCCTACCATATTTACAAAGCAGCCCTCTGAACTTTGATTTCTCATGTAGATTGTCTTACTGGAAAAAATACTTTTCTCTTAAAATTAACCCCATTGGCTCAGCGCCTGTGGCTTAAATGGCTATGGCACCAGCCACATACACCTAAGGTGGCAGGTTCAAATCCAGCCTGGGCCCGCCAAACAACAATGATGGCTGCAACCAAAAAATAGCCGGACGTGGTGGGCGCCTGTGGTCCCAGCTACTTGGG